TTTTTTTTTTTTTTTTTTTTTTTTTTTTGTAATCTATGTAACGTGCCCTCGCTTTGCTTATGCTGTATTTGCAAAATTGCCTCTGCCAAAACAGTCTTCATTTACATGTATGAACGGTAAGATCTAACAAATGGAATATTGGGGTAAACCTACAAGTTTATTATATCCTTGAAATAAATTATTGTTTAATGGTCACCACGCCAATATCTAGCATTATTGCATGTCCATTTACATATAGCTAGACTTATGATTGATAGCTGATATAAAAAAATCCAATATGGCCGCTATCTCGCCCTTAGGAACACTATCTTGTCGGCTATCAATTTCAATAACTAGTTCTTTTTTCTGATAATGAGGCACTGTTTCCTTTCCAATGTCTATAACACGCCAGACATCGCCTCGCGGACGAGATAACAACAGATTATTTAGAAATATCGGAATATACAGTGAGCCACACGGCCAACGCAGAAATTTGACGTGGACCGGGTTGGGAATGGGTTTTTACAAGTTAAAATGTAAAATTTGAATAAAATAGTCAGGAATCTTTTTCGCTTTTTCACTGTATGAAGAATACTCTTATTTGACAAGGTCTGTAATTCAAGACCTACCAATAGTGCTAACATTGAATTAAACGGGAAATTGCTTTAAATCCTTTTATCTTTAGAAAACCTAGGCTAAACCCACTCGACTTCCAACCCACCCTCGGACGGCGTATCAGCTGTTGTGAAATGAAATGTTTTGAAATACTGGCGTCTGCGTCAAAGTATCTTCCATACCTCTAGTAATTGGTAAAATTATTTCGTGGTATATATTCCGTATATGTAATATTTTTTATTAATAATTCTTTCCGTCATTGACTAAACTTGCGAAAAGCATCTAATTCCATATACATGCCTTTCCTAACATATAGTGAACTACAATAGATCGGGTAAGATATCATTATTTCGAGTGCCCCTTGTTACACATACCATACCTCATAATAAATAATGCATATGTACATATGCATTACTCAAATCAATTTGTTTATAGATCCTTGGTCATTCTTGGCCTAAAAGGGGAGACGACATCCGAGTGTACGTCTAGGTCATTAATGCACGGCGACCATCTAGCCATTTCGATGCTTCTTTTCCGAGGCACTTTAAACGTTTTGGCCAGTAAAACATTTACTGAAGTACACATTAGCAGGATAAATAGCCAGATCGTACCTATCTTGAAATAATTGAGAGAGAGAGAGAGAGAGAGAGAGAGAGAAAGAGGGAATTCTAACACTGACAATAACTCAACTTGCCAGATTACGTTTAAAGGTTAGTTGAGTGAGATTTATTATCCCGAATTGTTTGTTTTAAAACAATGCAAAAGTCGTGTAAAGTAATTGACCTATCATACCACATATAGGCCATCCGAAAAACAATAATCCTCTCAAGCAAATCTCATGTTCAACCTGCCATTTCAAAGTTTTTTCATGCCTTTTAACACATTCAGTAACGGAATAGCCCGTTGTAAAAACATATCCTTATCCCTGTGTTGACAGTTTAATACGTGGGCGCCTGCCCAGCATGACGCTCAGATGAAAACAGTTATCGAATTACTAGAGGTTAAAAGACAAGCAGTCCCTGTCAGTAGCGTGCGTGTGTGAGACCATGTCAAGGTTTTAAGCGGATTGATTCTCAGAACTCCCAAGGCGTGAGATTTACAACAAATTACAAGCCTTGTGTCGAGATATCTTTTGACACGAACATTTCGACGCCTATCTTCCAATTGCAGTCGTTGGATTTTTGATAGATTTATGTCAAAAATGAAGTGACCTGAAATAAATGCGCATTTACATGAGAGAGATCTTTTATGGCGTTATACAAATACTAGCTGTTCGTACACGGCACTGCCTTTGTGCAAGTAACAGATCTTCTAATGGCTAATGGAAATGGGAAGTTTTGGCGTCGCCATTAAAGAAAGTAAGATCTTTCTAACGTCATCGGTGACTTCACTTGTGTGTGCACCTTTTAAGACAAACGTGGTGCTTTTTAGGGGTGGCTCACTGGGAGTAAATTTCTACATGTATTTCCCGCACATCTATTAACATTAAGCACACAGTAAGGCTAAATTGAAGAACATTCTCCTATTTTTCTATCAAATATATCATACAAAACTCACAACAGGATGACAGTTGCCCCAAAATGTGAACACCCGCTAGTGATATACACTTTGATGGTTGAACATATGTACCGGTAACATAAAGTTCAGATTATGAACGATTAAAATTTTAATGTTTCTTTAATTTTGATTATGGTGTGGTCAGAATTGAGTAAGATTTTCATGCGAGTTATAGTACCCCAAAACTAATGTCACTTCAGTTTAAAAGCTTTGGAAAAATATGTCCATCACAAGATTATTTAATAATTCTGAAAGTTTGAAATGCTTGTATGGTATAAATGGTACCTGCACCTGGCTACATGTATATCTCTGTCTCTTCGCCTGTTAAGGTTGAGCATCGATTATAGACCGTTTTGTGATTCACTGTTTTGAAACATAGTCCATTCACTGTGTTCATCTGTGGTTAAAGATGTTTTAGGGTTCATCTGTGTTTAATCAACCGTATATAACAGTGTTTACTACATGTTGGAGCAATGGGATTATGTGTTGATATAACAATGCATCAGTCTTATGTGCTTTTCAAATCGGCTTTTTTCATCTGTTACAGACGGTTGTGTCCGAAGCCGCAGCTGTGCAAGACTGAGGGATTCCTCGAAACCTGACGAACTTTCAACTGAAAGAGGAAATGATCATCCGAAAATATTGACAAATTCTAATAACGCACGCCATATTAGTTATGGGACCGCAGAAGCAATTATAGATTCCCTGCTATGGCGTTCTAGAGCAAATGGCATGAACAAGGAAAATGAAGAAGACGACTCAAACCCAGCCTACGAATTTGGATTGTAACTTACTAAAATAGATACCATGATCCTGTCACAGAAAGCACTCAAGAAATGTTCGTAATTAGAATTTGATCGACATGTTGCGTGATTTTTACTGTTCGGACTGCATTAATCTGCCTTGCGTGAAGACACTATTATCAGTATCTAAAACAGTACGCGAGTTTCCAATGCAAAATTAATTTGTAAGAAATGACAACAGTATTTTTTAAGACAACCGGTCCATTGTTTCAAGATTAATTTCATTGCGAAATATCTGATTTAAAATGAAACGTGTTGATTTAATGAAAGAGAGGCATAATAAAATGGCGTGCTTCTGGAGAACACCTATTTCATTTACCATACAGGTCGAGCCGGTGCAAAACAATCTTCAAACGCAAATATTCATGTTTTGCGCCCTCCATGGCATAGTTTCAAGCTAAATTGCACAAATTCCATGGCATTTTCGTCACACCTTTCGCCTTTTTTGTTGTTGAAAGGAAACCCTTCCTATAATTAACATAATGATCGCATTTTTAAAACTATATTCCCTTGTGGGATACATGTACCTGTCGAATCATTGACTCTCCATACTGTGTCGCGCTATTGGGTTTGCACATTTTGCTACATAACTGATTTCAACATATTTCCTCCAAACGCATTTTCCTCGACAGAAACAAGCGGACAATTGCCGATCACTAAATCTGCTGTATCATTGTATAATCATTCATTTTGCTTTACTCTATTTTAATTTCTTTAGTATATTACGATTCTGAACCATCTTCTGCATTATAGCTAGGCAAGAGAAAAAATTTGATGGTAATATAGATGCGATCTTAAGCACCTAATTCCTAATATGTGTGTCTACAGAATAATAGGCTTAATCATCCCATGATCCGGGTTGGATACGATGAGGGCAAACCACAGGTGTGGGGTGATACTCATGACCGCGGTGAGTTACGCTGTGAGTTACTTCGTTACCATAGTGTTAACCCAGCGGGATAAATAGTTGTACAATTACGACTGGGCCATACGGTACCATGAACCTGCTGATGGAATCATAGATTTTCCTAGTGGCGGAACGTACATTTACCATTTACAATAGGGTAACACCATGTCACTAGTGGGTTTGGATGGAGTCTTTTGGGATATAACCACATCCAACTGCCTCTAAATTGGTTCAACCTCGATGTAAACCTTTTAACATGACCGTTTATGACGTCTTCGACCAAAGCGATTCATTTATATGCCATTACCAGAAGCCGTAAAAGACTTCCCCAATGATCATTAAAGAAGAGGCGGGTAAAACAATACTCATTTGTATCATTTATTTCATTTGTTGAAATATACATGAAGAATTGTAGTGAATAGCAGAATGTTACACCTTCACATTTCTGAGAATCTGAACAGAGCAAAGCAACGTAGGCCCTATGCCTGTTGTTATATACCTAGCTAGCCAGCACAATGTATTCTAAGTTCACACTTTGCTGCATTGCCTGTTAATACATCGAATCGACCTTGATTTGGTTTAAAGCACCGCATTTAAAACTTGTACCACCGTCCTCGTATTCTGAATATAAATCATACTGGACTGAGAAATCATCCAGACTACTGCATGAAGATTGCGTATTCTAAAAGAAAAGGTACCATGCACACCGCTTAATTCTTGTATCGTTTTTTGCCTATATATTTTTCATTCAACTGACATTTCTAAATCTCTATGAGAACAATATCTAGTATTTCCAGACATTTTTTTCTTTGATTGCGAGTACTTTCTCCCCCATTTGCTCCAAATATTAGACACTGCTCATTACAGCATGTCATAATGGAACTCACTGAAAACCATCTCGTTGGGAGTGTCACTTACTGACCTGCCATTTAACAAATGTAGGCGTGGCCTCGGTAAGAGGCAAATGAAAAAAGTTATCTGACAATCTTCTATGCGGATATCTTTCAATTTCCGCCAAACTAAACACTAATATTCTCCAGTAAACATACATAATCATACCCATTTTGACCACTTTCTAATACATGGTTACTAATAAACAGTTCAATCCATGCCTTGTAATTGATTACAGTGAATAATCAACTTGAACAGATTTAACCAAAACGATTTTCAATATCTTTTCATTTTCCTGTTAATCTCTCATGTAATGATCCAACTGAGCTTTTTTGATTTCATGCAATTAACATAACTGAGGTTTTATGAATGGCCACTTTCAATATATTCATCCTCAGGTGCAGGGTTTATGTAAAGTGTTCTTTAGACACCCTACAACTAAGGTCCAGTACAACAATATATGATCAAACAATTAAAAGCATATAAAGGTACACAGGAAAAACAACAAAAAAGTTTTACATCATAATATTTCTTCAAGATATTTACGTATGATTTCTGCACAACCAATACTGAAAGCACTCATTAGGACTGTCAACATCTTGTTCAAATTCAAATATTATAACAGACTATCTTTTAGAACTCGAACCCACATTTTATTTCTGTGTACATGTTTATCTATATCTTCATATCTACATGCCACATAAACATAGCTAATGAAGTCCCCTTTCCTGCAAATGTAAGTAAACCTATGGTTACTTATGACAATATTATATCAGTGGTTATTATTCAGGGTCCAACTCATTGCAAACCCTATCATTCAAGGAACAGCAATATATAAACTTAATATTGAATCACGTTTTGCCTGCCATGACATATTATCACAATATCTATACTTATCTTTACAAGTCAAGAGACATACTATTTACAAAATCTTGAAAAAAAAATTTTAAATTTACAATGGCAAAATAAATACTAAAACTGTTATTATTAGGTTGTTTGTGTCTTCTCAAATACCATCCCTCCTGTATATCTATCATCCTTAAAATTGAAACCTAAATTACACCCTTTCCTAATATATGCCATAATATTCTCATTCCCTTTAAATAATATAATTACAACTCCATGTGAGGAATTGCACTGACACTTCCAGTCTTCTACTATACATATATCCATCAGACAAGTGAGCTTATTTCAGGCAATTAACTTAATCATTCATTTCTGAATAATCAGTATACCGATTACCACTGATGTTTTACATGGTTACAACAGATTCTATCACCATAATATGTCTATGTTCATCCTTCATGTTGCCACAAATATATCATTTAAATGTCAACATTTTTTTCATACTTCTTTGTGTGCTAACATTTAGGCACCCAATAATTTGCTACATCAATTGTTCATTGTACATTTAATACAGACTTCAAGTCAAGTACAACAGATAGTGGCATGCATCATGTCAAGAAAATTTCAGAGTGAATCATTACCCCTCAGTAGAATACTACTGCTGCTTCACAGTCTATGCACTATTTGGATATATGTGAATACACATTACAGATTTTATAATACAGATGCTGTAACATTAAAGTTGCCTCTCATCTACAATGACAACTTTTTTCTTCAAACCTTATTTAGAAAGACCACATAAATGTACATATCAACATGTCAAATTTCTTAATAAAATAGCTTTGAATCTTTTTTACTACCCAAGAATATCAAATATATTCTTTAAAATGGCTTCATTCCAATATAGAGGAGTAGTGTGATTTTATGAGTTTTCGCCTAGATCTTCCTACGCCATCTGATTAATTAGTACCCACCATCATTATAACTGACATTTCATCACTGCAGACCAATACAGCAAAACATCAAGCCACACTGCACAAGGAAATAATGATAATAATAATAACAACTATGTTTTATTCAAGTTCAAACTCTCTGTTATCACTTCTCTCTTATTTGGGCATCTAATTTAATGAGTGACCAGCGCTGGTATGAGAGGGAAATCAGAGACCAGCATCTTTCACTCTCAGCTCTTGATATCCAGATGCAACTTTTTCATGACCGTAACATTGGCAGTTACCTCCTATTACATCTATATTTGTGATTTCCATTTTAAAGTTATAATTACGTGACAGGTTCAGGGAATCCCTACATTCATTGGGGCTTTTCCAGTTATGTGCTTATTACAGCAGTACCAGAAATTTGGGAATTTCCCTATTATAAATTAGTAACAGCACTTTTGGACAGTTGCCTATGAACATCTGCACACATATAACCCCACTGTCCTGCACATACCATCAGCCATGTGGTAGATTTACCTGCTCTCACAATTTCAGTATCTTCCTGCACACAGTTGCAGGCTTTTCAAACATGATTTGTCTACATTTAGTAGTTTCAGTCTTTTCAAGACAGACATGTCTGCACTTGCAGTTTCAATTTGTGTGGTCATTCAGACAATTTAAGCCTGCTGAAATCAGTGTAAGCTTGTATTTCACCCCTAGGCAACAATGTCTGTACAAGCAGTTTCAGACTGCTCAAGCTGGATATGTCTGTACAATCAGTTCTTTCTCAGGTAACTGCCTCACTTTCATGGAGCCATCAGCACCACAGGAATACAAGTACTTGTTGTGACTGACTGCCACCTGAAGGACCCCTGATATATTGGACCTAAACAGGCCTTCTTTTCTGTGCTCTCCTAAGAAGGCATACATGAGGTTGTGAATGCCTAGGCCCCACACCTACAAAATATGAAAATGCTTATGAACTGTAAAAGAAATATTTCCATTTTTATTTCAAAATTGCTGCATCAGTTTGATCATAGAAATGGATAAATCTTCAGTACACCTCATTGACCTTGATCGCTTTTACTGGCAGTTTTAGTCCTAGTTACTGGTCAGTGAGAATTGGTACTAGTTCTAAGCAAATTATACATGACATATTAAGTCTGGCACTAATTAACATTTAACAATTTTTTCTCACAACAACATGGCATTATTATATGTAATTGGCCAAGGACAACAATTATCCTTTTCCGGTTCATGCAGCTTATGTCTTTTTTTGGACAGAAATTAAAAAATTGAATTAATCTTTACACAATTTGTCATGATATTTTCTCAAACAAGTTTAGAATAGTAGTAGGGAGCCGTATAGGTAAATTGTCAGTGTGCTCAATATATTCATGTACCAAATAACGTTCAGCTTTCTTGAAGTGTGTGTGTGTGTGTGTGTGTGTGTGTGTGTGTGTGTGAATGGGCACACATGTGCCTGTTTATAAATGTGCAACAATGAACAGCACCAGTATAGTATATTTAACAGTATAAGCTATTTTGCAATAGCTTTGTTCAATATGCAAAAAAAAAATAAATAAATAAAATAAAAAATAAAAAAAATAAAAAAATAAAATAAAAAATAAAAAATTGGAACATGATATATATTTTTTTCCAAAACTACCCAAACAAGTGACATCAGAAAGTTATAGCATGATCTTTGCAAATCATTTTTGCAGAAAGCAGCAAAGTTGAAAATATTCCAGTAAACATACCTTTACATCCCCTTCAGCAGATCCACTGACAAAGAATTCCTCAGATGGATCTAGAGCAAGAGACTTCACTGCAGTTTCGTGTGCCTGGAATGTGTGTCGTAACTGCCGCTGCCGCATGTCAAATATACCTGTTTGCTGTCAAGGGTATAACTTGTGAAAAAGTATATGCATATGTGCAGGTCAGATTTCATGCGTATAAGGTAAGAAATGTGAAAATAAGTAAGGGGGTACCAAATAATGTGGCTGGCTAACTGAAATAATCAAAATTCCTGAAATAAATATAAACATTTTTGGCTTTAACAGCATGTTCAGACACAAGCATGTGTTTAATACAGGTTTCCCATGGCATGAAAAAACCATATTAAAACATGATTATGATCACAAAGATAAATGACCGCTACTAACATGACTATTAAGTACATGTTTCTCATGACATGAAAAAAATAAAATGATCACTTGTAATATATAACCTATAGGTAGTCAGTTTTTTCTTAGCTGCCTATCAAAATACGAAAGTAAAATCTTAAGACAGTAAAAGGATACATATATCTCCTTTCTTCCCCCCAGTAATGAGGATTTGATGTTGAGGAGCATACACCAAGCAAGGACTGCCATGCTCATGACACACAAAGGCTGAAAAATAATTCAGTAAAGCTTATAAACTAACCTAATGTTAAATTCATATATTACTTTATTATAACAATGCCCAGTAGATATGCTGATAATGCCCCAAGATGCTCCTACTCTGTGCACACATGCATGCTTGTGTCCTTGCATTTGTTCTTTAAAGAAAACAGTCAAGGAAGATCAGAATAATATCTTTTCCATATCAAATGGTTTGTGCTGCTTTAAAAAGGTCTGGAAAACACATACACACACTGAGAGTTCATTATATTAAAGGAAGCTCCCCTCAATCTTAATGTTACTGATAGTTCATGACAGCAGCTTAAGGCTGTGGGAGTGCAAACATAAACAGACAACAAATTTCAGTTCCTTCAACAGAGGATTCCCAGCCTGTTCTTTACTTTCAGAAGAAATGCAGCACTATATCTTATTAACTCTAAAGAAATAAATTGAAAGAAGAATATAGTATCATTAAGTGTGCTATATTACCCTGGACAAGTGAGCTCCTAGGTGGCAGCAGTGTGTCCCAGAGACAGACATTCTTGCTCTCAGAAGAGTGTCCAGAAGATGCCAGCAGGCTGGAGGAGCCAATGAACTCAAAGTCACTGGTTGACTTACTGTGGCAAGACAGGCTCTGAAAGCAAAAACCAAAAACACTTCTGAGTGTAATAAAAATTTTTGCTAATTATCTTAGGCCTGTTTCACAAAAAGCTGAACTCTAAGGCAAACATCTGCCTTAGCTGGACCTTAGGCTGTGTGTCACACAGAACCTTCGCCTAGCATCAACTTCTAATTGCTTTGATGCTTTTTACCAACAGAGATGACTAAATACTATTTATGTATTTAAATTAGAGGCATTGGACTGATATTGCAAAGCAGTCCTTTAATTCACAAACATGTAGCATAACAGTCTTAGTAAAGCTGAAAAACCTGATTTTTTAAGACAAGCTTTTTTGTGGACATTTTTATATATTAGCTTAAACTACCAGTGAATATTTCAACTGAATATTTTTCTTGAAATAATTCAAGGTGAAAAGAACAAAAATTTGTCTGGGAAAAAAAAAAAATATATATATATATATATATATATATATATATATTTGAATTGTGTTGTCACTTACCTGGAATGGTTTGTTCATATTTGTTCCAAATCCCACCTGCCACAGGCACACAGACCCCTCACCATCACTGACTCCAAACTGGAAATAAGACAAAACAGATAAAAAATAATATAATAATAATGTTAAGACTACAATATCCCTTAGTTATTGCTTCGAAGCAGTTTCATAACTAACAATTAAATAATGTTTATATTCTGTTAGTCTGAGAGACCAGCTGCACAAGATAGAAACACTTTCAAATACTTTTAGTTTACTAACATCCCACTCATCCATCCACCCCCACACACACACACATATTTAGAAGGATAACACAAAGAAACTGACGTATTCCAACAGTCTCCCACCTTATTTCCATGAGTATTAAACTGTAGCCTGGTGACCTTGGGGAAGCTGCCTGCCTGTCTGGGTGTGGCTACACACTGGCCATGTCCCCACTCCCACATCCTCACACTGCCATCATGACAACCAGTCAAGTCTAAAGAAGTAAGATTTTCTCAAATCAGTCCACTTAGTTCAATCATCTTATATTGTTTTAAAACATAAAACATATCTGTGTGCTTGAAACATACATTGAAATAGAATGATACCTTTGGGGACAAAAAATGGGTCTTCTCATTGTTAACACAGTGTGTGTGTGTGTGTGTGTGTGTGTGTGTGTGTGTGTGTGTGTGTGTGTGTGTGTGTGAAAGGGAATTTTATTCCTTTTCAACATTTAAGCTACATAGTACAATTATGTACGTGTATATAATACAAACAAGAACATATTGGGGGAGGGAGACTATCCAACTAGTATTTTTAATATATCTGCCATCAGTTAATGACATTATATAACTAAAACAACCTTCAAATATTACACTTACAATATGGCAGATGGGGATGGGCACCCATTCCTCTAACATCATTCACTGGTCTCTTGTTCATCTGAATAAAGTAATATTAGTTAATAGGAACAAATAACATTGAAACAACAATGAAGCAGCTCTGCAGTCCTGGTTGTCTACAGTCCATGTCCACTAGATGTGTTGAAATCCTTTTTTTTTTATCCAAGTGATATATTAAAACAAAGAGACCAACAACCAGTCAGTTCAACTGTGTATTATGTTTTGTGATACATCAAATATTAACTAGAAAAAAAATGAGTAAGATAGTGCATAAACTCACTAAAAATGTGGTGACACAATATTTTCCAATTCTTTGGTTAAAAAGTAGTATTAAATGGATGTGCATAATACAAAATCAACTATCTTTTGCAATAGGCTTTACATGCAATAATCACCAAGTACTATGTTGACAATAAACCAAAAGAGCATATTTAAAAATCGAATCATTTCATCTACAAACAAATGAAAATTAAAATCTTTAAAAGTCAATATGTATAAAGAGCAGGTAATACTTCTCTTTCTTATTAATGAATATATAGAAAGGAATAAAAAAAAAACGCCACGACCCTGTTATAAAATTTGAAACAAGCAAGTTAGAGGACATGATGAAAAGAATAAACAGATGCAAAAGTATAAAAGGAAAAAATTCAAACAAAATAAACATTTTAGTTTTTTTCGCCAAAACAATCTCTACTGCATCAAATGAAACTGCCAAGCAACTAAACCTTTCTGCTACTGCTTAGAATATTAAACTGTGTGCAATCAGTGGATTTTTGTCTTGAAAATGATTCTCTACTCTTAACATGGGTGTTTACTAGATAAAACATTGTTGGTTTTACAAATATTTTTGTACTTTGTTCCTAAAATTTACATCAACAAATGCACAGAATTTGACATCCAAAACAGTATGAATTTTCACCCAAAATATTTTTGATCCCTGACAACTCAAAACAACAGCCACAAAACTGCCCCACTGGCACACAGTTTAAATGTCCAGTAGTGGTCACTCACCACTTTAAGTAGCCGTCTACTGCGGTCTACCACATGATGTGGATGAAGATTTGTAAGCCCTGGTAGGTGAAGCCCTTTACCCTGCATGTCCAAGAGCAGCAGAAAACCAAGGGGAGGTGAATTAGAGAGTTTGGGCAAAAGATGCCAAGATATTAAAAATCAGTAGACTGATATGTCAGTGAGAAGAAATTGCTCACTTGATGAGCAAACCAAGTGAGCATCAAACCCAAGCTGAACCCAACTAGTCGAGGTGCAATCTGCAGTACATAGACAAGTTAGTTTGAACTTCATAGAACAAATAGTAATGTATCCTCCATCCCAATAAAAACCAAATATTTTGTAGAGCACTGTTTTTCACAAAAAGCCAACCATAATGTATCACTCACTGCAAGAATTGCTTTTTTTTTCTTTTGTGAGATGGAAACTTTAGACATTGCTCATTTTAGTCAAACATTTACATATCCTTATCAGCCAGATTCAGCTTGGGCTCAAGTTTGAAACTAAGGAACAATGAAATGAATAACCAGCTACATGTATTCTTTAAATCTTTTCATCCATTTTCACCATCATTTATACCATATCATTATGGCTCTATATAAATGCCTGCAATACTATCCTGTAGAACTTGTTATAGAAATTGTTATATTTTTGTATATAAAAGAAAATCCATTTTTTTACAAATATTTTCAAACAAAATCTATCAATAAGATAAGAATTATGAAATTCCATTAATACTTTATATAAATACAGTCACCACACTGCAAAACAAGTTTAAGCAGACTTATTGCAACCATAGCCACTGACTGCAGCAAAGATCTTTTATTTTCAATATTCAAAAAGAAATAAATGTGAGAGAAATCAAAAACATAAAAGAAAAAAGCCAATATTGTCAGGGATAAAAATGATCAAATGTGGACATTTTTTGTAGAACTTTTTCATGATTTGCAGTATGTCAATTATCTAAGAAATGAATACATGTAGCAAGCATAATAATATTCCATGCAGTATCAAATTAGTTTAACGTTATCACAGCCAAAGCATAGCTTATTGCAAATGGCAACACAGCAAGGTGCCTAGTGGCTGCTTAAACAAGCATGATTATTTGCAAATATATCTCCCAGTGAATGCAGATACCAGTGAACAGATATCTGACAAAACATTTAGTTCCTTTGGTCAGTAATGGCAGGAGGGTGGAAAAACTATCATATTACAACAGGATCCAATATACACTCCATTAGAAAAATATTGCAGACTGCGTATCATGAAAGTGGCTTATCATCAAGTGTGTTTCACGTAGCCAATTTCATAGATATTATTTACAACAGTTCTGTATCCCGGGAGGATTTGTTTCCTCGTAAGCCTTGTTTCCCTACACAAGAGTGCAAGTTCAGAGAGTTGATTTTTTCCCACAATTTCTAATTGTTTGCTAACAGAAATTTAAATTTGAAGATACATTTTATCCCGCATTGCTAAATAACCAAATTCGTTTTCTGAAATGAGCATGTGACTTTACTGAATATCACATATGAAATGACACAGTGAAAATTCTGCATAAGTATAAGTATATGAAGCCTAATTCACTTTTCAAGAGAGATGGATACTGAGATGCAATGCAGTCAGCAGTTTCCCTAAAACCCATGCATCTTAACAGGATTCAGTATTTACTCAAGGAATTCGAACAAAATTCAATAACTATATTTTTCAAAACATGCAAGAGATGATTATAATATTTTAAAAAGTGAGATGATATCAAGTCAATTTCTATTTCTTTTTGTACAAAGAACACTTAAATTACAAAAGATTATAGAAATTGAGGCGTTCGAAAATTGAATATAAATACTAATACAAACATATTATTTTACTCCCCTTTTCACCCATGCTTGTTATTAAAAAATCACCCAGTGCAATAAGTTATTTATGATAACCAATGCCTTAAATGATACATTTCCTTACAAATACATAGACAGACTCTTAGCAGTGTGATAACTCACCAATTCTTCATAACAGACTCCTTTGGAATTGGTGTTATTTTCCTGAAGCAATTATCTTGTAATGAATAAGTGCAGAACTACATAGCCAGGGCTCGAGATTAAGGCTTCATTCACATGCAATGTCTATTTTCTAAATTCTATTTTCTATTCGCGGTATGTCTTATGATCATGGTCTGTGCCCTGAACATCCCACGGCGTAATTACTGGAAGCGCGAGCCAGTTACTTATACCCCGTTCACACTACGCTCAGTTATCCGGATAAATTGCGAATTAGGTCACAATTCGAATAAATGCAGTAGTGTGAACGCAAGAGGATTTTTGTAATGCGCATTTTCAAAATCCTGCAAGCGAGGTGGATTTCTAAGCGCAATCCGGATAACTTACCGGAATCGACACCTGTACAAATCTAACTGCACATGCGTGCAGATAAGTGCGGGTATCTATGAACGCTTGTTTATTACTTTAGCGATTGCACCAAACGTATTTGGAGGTCGCCACTCACTACAACATGAGGAAACAAACTTATTTTGCCATCTTATACTTCTCAAGAATGCTGGAATGTCTTTAGAGTTGCATTTGTCGTCACAAATTGTTGTTGGTATTTTAAGATTTTCTGTGCGGCGCATGCGCGAGTGTTCAAAACAGGAAGTTAAACCTGAAATTTTCAACGTGGGATTCGGATTCGCTTAGCGTGTGTGAACGCAATACCGAATCGGATTCCTAACAAAAAATTCGGATTATAGAAATGCGCATTTTTGCAACTGTAGTGTGAATGGGGTATAATAGTTACTCAGGTATTCACTAGCAGTAGTGTGATACAATATGTGCTTATACAGTTATCAACAACCAACAGAACATAATAAGATATAAAATACCATAAATATTCCATTTTTAAGACTCACCATACCTTAACAATGTTTGTATAACTGGGCACCAGATCAATGAACCAAATGAACAAAATACTTAGTGTTGTTCTCCCATAATTTTTCAATCCCCCCCCCCCCCCCCCAAAAAAAAAAAAAAAAAAAATCCTGAAGCCCTATGAGCCCCCATGCAGCACAACCATTTCCTAAAAATCTATATTTGACTACAAATGTTGTTAATACACAGAAATATACCTTCTTTATTTCTAAAACTTATGTTAGCAAAATTTATAATACCATTTATATAAATAAACCTCTTTCTTGTGTTGCTACAATGTTATTTTACTTTGAAATGTGAAACATGTTCTTCAATACACTGTCAACAGCTTGGTTACAGCATTATCAGATATGCGTAGACCAGATATTTAGTAGCTGTAACATGCAATGGTAACAAAAATGCCAGATATAATGTGTACACTGGAAAAGGGTTAGAGAATTATAACCCTTCACAAAATCAAAATTATATAAAAGCAAGCACATGCTATAAGCCCACATAATCAGAATAGGTAATATTTCCAGGGACAATCTTAATCTGACTGGTATTGTTTTCTAGCTATAGCCTCATGCAAGAAACAATTTTGGCAATCTTGTTTCCTAAACACTATCAGTAAAATTGCAGGACTATTAAATTAATTGAAATAAATTCAGACTAGTATTTTTCTGGGATCATAATTAGTCTAACTCAAATCATTTGGGTTCATTTCACAAAAGAACTGAACTGAATGCCCAAAACTTTTAGTTTACTTAGATAAATCACTAGTAGTCTACTTAAATCAAGATGTCTGTTTTACAAAAAAAATTGAAATGCCTTATGTTTTAAATTGACAGTGCCTTTATTCTTGTGACCTACTAGTGATTTATCTCGGATCAAATTATAATTTTGGGTTTGAAATTACGATCAAATTTTGACAGCACTAGCTTTGTGATGTACAGGTTACTTGGACAAGTGGGTCCCCCTATACTTAGCTGTAGTGCAAGTCAGAACCATTTTAGGTTAGTAGTTATGTTGTCTAAACAGGCCATCAGAGCATTAAATCATCATAAGATTTAATTCAATATTTAAGGAAATATTTCTTTTTGTACCACTCAACTTAACATTTTCCAATCTTCCATAATTCAAAACATGCCCATAACTTTGTCTCCACTTGTACGACAGTGATCATGCTTTGACACATGCGGCAACTCCACATGCTCAATATAAATGCATATGTACATACACACATACATATACAGTATACATACCACTGTGCCCCCCTTGTTGGTATACCCTGCCATATGTGAGGGTGCTGGGAGGGCCCCAGGAGCTGTGGGCACTGACAGTTGAGACATCATCTTGTCGTGAGGGTTGTTGATCACTAGGAACTCCCCAGTCTCCAGATGTTCATGTTGAGGACTTTTAGTAGAGAAAGATGTTTTATCATATATTGATGGAATGTAATCAAATATATCTATACTACATTGTGCTTGAATGTATAAAGTCGTATCTAAACTGAATGTGGCCATTTATTTTATAGGGAAATAATGATATTGACAGGTATTTAGTAGAACAAAGCCATTTAAACAATAAATAGTTTAACTGATTGGTTTTATGACTTCCATTTGAATCAGACTTTAATGCAAGGTAAATCAAATACTTACAACACATGCTTAGTATTCAACTTTTATAATACTTAACACTTTACTTCCACTTACTTCTGCAGGTTCTCGATGTCATATTCTGTCTCATCTTCAAGCCAAGATGGAGGATTCAGAATGCTGTTGATATCTATTTCAATCACCTCTTTATGGGTTGCTAATGCTAGCACATTCAGGTTACCCTGTAAATATGAAATACATGCAGTTTACATTTAGTGTGCAACATTTTGCTTTTACCACACACAAAACTAACATTCACTTTAATCTCTCACACATATCACATCCAGGCTATCCTGTTCCCGCACATGCAGGGATGAGACTGGCATTTAGTTAAAAAGGTATAAAAATATGGGATCCAGGGGCACTCTGAATTGAACTCAAAAATATTTTTGACTCCCAAAAAGTCAAAAATATGTTGATAGTTGGAAAAACCCATTGCTGCACATGACATATCCAGGTTACCCTGTCACACATAAGACATTCAGATCACAATGTCACACCAAGTACATTCATATTTTTTCTAATTTACACTTTTGTTTCGTACAACTCCATAGCATATTCAACTCTTTAAGTTGGATAAAAAAGATATGTCTGAAATTCTGTTCAAATACCTGGTTGATGCAGAAGGCAGCAATGACATCATTTTCCTTGTGAATAATCTTCACTGGCTCCACTGGAGGTAGGTCATGGTCATCTAGCAGGGCCCTACTGTCCACCTGAAATAGGAGGTGAATATTCATAAGTGACTCAAGAAATACAATATGACCTTTGACCTCAGTGCCCCTGGATCCATTAAGACAACAAGCCGTTTTCACAACCTGGTCAATTATAGGTTCTAACTATAACATCACCAGATGATAATGAAATAGGGTCCCTTTTTATCCTTCTGTGATTATGGCTTCTGAGTGCAGCTGTTTCAGTTCTTCACAATGGCAATTATGACATTATTAAACAGATTCACTCGTCCCCAAAACATGGATAGATCATGTGCACATGCAAATGCATGCATGACTTAATGACAAAACATAAAATTCATACATTTGTTACTCTGAACTGTGAACTTATTATGATACACGTACCCATGACATGACTATAATGCATGTTTTACAATTAATTAAAGTATACATTGAAACATGCTTAAAAACTATAAAATTGTACCACAAATACGGGGAATTTATCAATAATTTTACTTTTATTTTTAGAATCATTAGTAATGATGCTTACAAAGACAAGAACTGATCAAACAAAACTTAAGGATCAAAGCATCTCAATTAGCATAAAAAAACATAAGGAATAATGAACTAAAAACAAAATATATCAGACTTGCATGGACTCTCCTGTATTAATTTTATAACTTTGCTTAAGTTTGATTATTCCTGTGGAGTTCCCACTCCTCCCCACCCAATAATAAAGACAAGCTAAACTGTGTTACTCAGTCACTGCCAGTTGATAAGAAATCAAATAAATATACTGATGAAAATACTGTCAAAAATAATACGACTAGACAGTAGATTGTGAAATATGCGCACTGTTACGAAGACTGCCATTTACTTGCTGGCTTTAAAACAATACCCCAGTCAAAGACAAAGAAAAAAATCTTTTTTTCCATAATCACATGCATGCAGCATTTATTTGTAAAGGCATGATGTACCCTGGCACCAAAGTATATACATATAAGCACAATCCAATGATACATCTGTAACATCATTCCATTTTTTAAATTATCAGCCACAGCGCAATTTTTTCATGTGCAAACAAGCATAATTGCATAATATTTTGACATTTATGGATTACAGTTCTTTATATAATTCTATACATATGATATACTGATTTAATCAAAAGCAAAACACTTAAATAATTTTATAATCAAATTGAACATTGGTGAACAATTAAGGTCAGATATGAGTACAAGATATTATAACACTAAGTGTGAGTGATGGCATAATGGTGCATCTTAAATCACTGGAAAATGTGTTCCTGTTCAAACTGTGGGTGATTGTGTGCCACACAAATTGCATCAGTCCATCACAGTATCTTCTCTTAAGTGTCATTCTGGATGCTCCTTCCTAATCTAGCACAACAGCAGTGCAAGAAGAGTTCCCCATAAGGGAAAATATAAAGAGAGTATGTTTACATGTTTCCAAAAAGATGCATCTTAAATCATGTCAGAGGTTAAACAGACTGATATAGTCACACAAGTATTTGTGCTATTTGGGTGAATCAACACCCATCTTCTTGTATCAGCATGCAAAAACAATGCAACACACAAAATTGCAACCCATTCTCAGACACCAGCATGCCATGTGGGTTATATATATAACCCTCCCTCCAGCCAAATGGGTTAGAAACACATTTCTATAAACTGCTTTGCCTAGCTGGTATACCAACTGTACCAACATGCTATGATGTGAGTTAGATAGAACACACCCATGCTTTCTCCCGAATATGCAACTTCTTAGGTGTCATCCCCTTAGCAGCAGCTGAGTCTGGCCTGGCTGGATTAGTAAACATATTGTTGGCAAAAAATGATTTATTACCATGGAAATGCATTGAGTGAACAATATTTTAACCTCGCAGGGCAAAAGACTAAGAGAGAACATTTTTCTGCTGGTGTCTGAGAAGGGGTCCTCAGGCGTCATGCTTTCTAGGTCACAATCTTGGATTCCGCTGGTCTATTGAAGATATCACGCATGGAAAGCAAAAACATGGTGTTATCATTATTTAATGTTTCCAGACTCTGGACAACTGTTTAGTAGCTGTTAATAAAATAAGGTCTTACTTTTTGCTTTATTTAGAGTGAATGGTAACTGAACAGCAGAA